CGGGGCACGGCCGGGCTCTGCCGCGGGGCACGGCCGGGCTCTGCCGCGGGGCCGCCCGCTCCGGAGCCGCGTCATCTGCGGCAGCTTTGCGTCTTGCCGTGCCAGCTGTGCCGGGCGCCTCTCACCTGTGCCGGGCAGGGGGCGCACACTGGTCACACGTACGCACCGCCGCCATGTCATCCCCTGGGTCCAACGCCTCTGACATTTTTTCCTGCCCCCTGCTCCTCTTTCTTGCACAGCTGCAACAAGAGTGCTCAGGTAAATCCTCTCGAGGCTCACATCTAATGTAGGAAGGAAAGCCTAATAACGCCATCAAAGGTGATCACGGCAACTCCTGTTCTCTAAGCGGGCAGTTTGGTGCAGTACGATGTTCAGAGAAAAGCTTAAATCCACCTCTGTCACTTGGGTAATCACAGCAGCTGGGGCGTGGGAAGAAGGCACCTTGTTTAGAAGATAGTGTCTAGAAATACACTTCAAGTAATTTTTTTTTTTTTTTTTCATGTGGCAAAGTACAGTCAGACTGGTTCTAGTTCTGCTGCACAGGCTTAAGATTACTTAAATCGTTTAAAATGACCCCCAAACAGGAACACATAAAAACTAAAACCTGATGTCTTTTCTACCACATATGTATGCGTTGTAGATTTAGCTGCCAAATTTGTTCTCAATTCTGTAAAAGTGAGTGCTGTGGCCTGCTACGCTGATGTGTGTGCCAAATGCAGCTAAAAAGACTCCTGTTTTTAACTGGACAGGTAGCACAAGTTTTCCTCACTCTCTGAGCTCTGTTGAGGTATTCGTAGGATGTAAAAGACTGCTCACATCCCACTCCCCGTGCTCAGACTGGTCCCCTACGCTGCAGGGCCTGGTGAGACCCTGAAACGTCAAGCAGAAGTGGAGGCAGGGAGGAGCTCAGCGTGCTGGCCCACACTTGGCCCTCACAGAATGGTGGTGCAAGCCGACTAGCCGGAAAAAGTCAGTCCCTTACACTCCCCTCACTACAATCTGATATTTCTGCAATTCCAGATTTTTAATGTATTTTTAGGTTTGTCCTTCACTCTTGAACAAAGATAAGCAATGAGTGAGGGATGGAGTGCATAGTTCTGCCTCTGTTTCCCACAAGATGGTCTGTACTGCTTCTTGGCTTGAGAAGCAATTTTCCTTCACGGAGATCCACCCCTTATTTTGAAAAACTCTGATCTAGTTTCATGTATGCTTAACACAGCTTTCAGTCTATGGTCTCAACTTCTGCCCTGGAGATAGGAGTGAGGGCAGTAGAAGTAGCTGTTTGATAGTGATATGGACAGTTCTTTTTGCTAAAAATCCTAAGTCAGAAGCTCCTGGTTATAATGTGCTTCACACTAAATATGTTTTTCCTGATAACTGTATGTACATTTTGTCAAGGCGTTTATCAGAGCATAAATGCTCAGTGGTAAGCACTGAAGAGGCCACTATGATTAAGCATTCTTTAGCTGGAAAAAAAACAACAACACCCTGAAGCATCTCAAGTGTTAGAACATATTGCCGGTCCATCTTTATTAGTACACCACCCTGTGTTAAGCAGCTGGGGTTTTTTTGCATGATCATGTATGACAGGCTTCACTGTGTATCATTATATTAGTAACCTAAGGCAAAACAAACACCATTAACTCAAAAATAACCACCAGTACTGTAACTTTTATTTGCTAATAAATATCTTAATAAACAGGCTTACCCCATCTGTAAGACCTGATAATGCCTCTTAGGAAATCATAGAAAAATAAAATACAATAATAATCAATAACTTGTACTTTGTACAAAAATCTTATTATGTTGCTCAGCAGGTAGCTTTGCCAAACCCCATATTCTTTCTGCAAAGAGATGGCATATGTAATGCAATTCACCTTAAAAACACCCTAATGTTGAGAGCTGAGCATTCTATTACACTATTAACTTGTAGGCATGCCAGCACATGAAAATTTACATGGAACATCATATTATCATAGGAATAGAATAATAATAAAAAAAGAAGATAACACCACTTTTCAGTAAATAATAACAACTTCACTTCTAATGTAAATTCCCCTTGGGACTGCAAATCAGTATATTAAGCTTTTAATTTCATGGCTATTCCTACAATACTGTGATAAACTGGCGAAAAGGCAGAAAGAAAAATGCAGTTAGAACATGTATGGGAGATACATTATGTGAAGAAAAGTAATTCTGAACAGTGAGGCAGTCCCAGGGGGAAAACAACGATATCAGCTGTGAAATGTTCGTCTCCCAGACGTAGACTGTGCTTGATTTGTGCAATGCTACACAAGTTCAGACCGATGAAGATTAATTTAGAGGTACAGTACCAAGGCTGCTTTTCTGTGAGATGAATGGTGACGACTGAGTCACAGGTAGTTGTCATTATTCAAATACATCTTGATAAGAGGAAAAGAAGCAATGGCAAAACAAATGTTATCTGGGGTCTTTAAAGAAAAGGTGGGCTTTGGACTACTGGTAAGGGTATGAGATCTGTGCTGAGGCCACAATTTGTTTGTAAAATAGTTTTCAAGTGTTATGATTATGACATTACTTTTGAAGCCATCTACTTTTGAAGTTTTGACATGGCTGCTTAAATATATAATCTAAAGTGTCTGTCATCAAATAGTTATTCATAAATACGCATACATTGATACATTTTATGGCTATGCTAGAACAGCAAACTATGAAGAGCAGTCATATTTAGTTGTGTACCATCTGATTTCACAGAAGAGACAGAGATTAAACTCCCTTTTAAGTCATAAACGTTCAAAACCATTTAAAACACACAGAAAGAAATAGACAGAGGCTATCCTGAGAAAACATACCAACCACATTATCTTCCAAGAGTAAATCAAAGCTAATTTTTGGAAGGTAATCAAATATTTTTCCTATATTTTTACTGTAAGTCAAAGTAGTTTGTTTTTTTTTAAAAAATGATGACAAAATTAAAATAATAAATTCCAACTGGATCAATGAAGGTTGCTTTGCTAGAAAATAAACTATTGCCTTTCAGTACATAGACTTTCAGATTATTTTCCTTGTTAAATGGCAGATGCAATCCTGAGAAGTGCAGAGTACCTGTTGTTACCAAAGTCAGTAGGAGTTATACTGCATCAAACAAGAACAAGCCCTTTTTGTTAGTCTCCAGATTTTCAGTCACGGCATCGCTCTGCATGACGCAACTGATAACATCAGACAATCTTGACATTGTCCTCAACAGAAGCAGATGCAAGGCTCTAGGTAAGAGCAACATATACTGAAGTACTGACTGAATCCAGTTCCTTCATCAAAGTTAACCAAGAAACAACTTTTCCTTCTTTTAATCTGAAATAGCCCTCTCTACCTTATGTAGAAGAGTTGGGAGAAGAAATTGCTGCAAAAGAAATAGTATTAAAAATGCTACACTGCCAATTCAAAGCTGTTTCTTGGAGAGAAGCAGATAGGGAATTGTGGCCATAAGCTTTAAAATGCTTCTGTGTTTATGTGTTAGGCATCTTAGAGTAGGATGGTTTTCTTGAGATAGGGAATTAATGAGAGTCCAATAAACAGAGCTACCAGGAGGGCATTAGTTATTTTATTTGCAACTGTGCCTTTCATTAACTGGCAAACTTACACTGCAGTGGAGTAGGAGTATGAAACAGCTTGTTCAAAGAGTCATATTTCAGCTAGCACTTCTATTATGAAGGGGAGATCATACTGCATAATGGTATATGTTTAGGAAAGAAGAAATGTAGACAAATTCTATTTTTTTCTAGGTTCTGTGTGTTTGATGGGGATAATGGTTTTATCCTGTATTTAAATCCACGAGTTTGGGGAACTCCGTAGCAAAAACAAAAAAACAAAAAAACACCAAAAACATTTCTGTTAGATACTCTATTAGTTGTGTAGGTCATTTAAAATATTTATTGCAAATTCAGAGATGGTAGCCTATTCCAGTTAAAACAACAGTGCAGCAAACACCTTTTGTACTTTGCAGTTCAGTTTTGCCATGTTGAAGGTAACCATAATCTATTTCATCACATCCCTGAGGTTGTAGCCTTGTCTTTTATGCTCAGTGCAGTTCTCTCCTATTAAATGAGGCCATCCATTCCATGCAAATCTATAGAAACCTTTGATCCAAACCCTGTTTCAGTCTATTAACATTTTCGTATGGATTTAACTGACTTTGGCTCATGCCCTGAAGGACCAACCTACACCTCAACCTGAAACTCTCAAAAGAGAAATTAAAACTAGCATAGTTTTAGTGATACATTTGAACGACAAGACAGCACGTGTCCCAGTAAGTGCTGGTTCTCTAACAACAAATCAACTATGACAGTTGTGGGATGGAGGAAAGGAGAATCTGTTTGGAGAGCTGAATCCTACATACAGTATGTGTAACGTGGGGCTACATCTGTCTGCCACTGAAGTCAGTAACAAACTCTCAGAGTTTTGGTCACAGCAAGACCGTACCTATTGACACTGAAACATTTAATTCCTCACAGTTACCTCATTGTCCCAAGAATTACTCCATCCAGTTCATTAAATTCTTTCAGCAGGAATTGGAAATACTGGGTGTTTCACAGTAGAACCTTCCCAAGACAAAAATGGAACTCGTGAATTTGGCATTTAGTAACTAAAATAATTTACAGATTTGAAACATTGGCTGCAGTTTTTCAGCTAACCCGGTTGTACATAAAGGGACTGTGATGGTAAGTTATACAGCTCAGAGCATTCAGCTTTTAAAAAAAAAAGTTATTCATGTTTTAATCACTCTCAAGTAGAGCTCAGTCTGAATGAGAGAAAACTGAAAATTCAGTTTGTAAGCCACTCTCAACTGGATACCTCTACTGTACTAATTATTTAGGTTCCTTTCAGAAAAGCCAGTATGCAACAAGAAGAACAAGTAGTCTTTCAATTACAGAATTGTGTCTGTTGGAGTTTCTGATCTAAATGATGACAGTTGTACCTGAATTTTTGTCATAGGCTGGACCCTGGAAAATCAGCAAATAGATTTTTTTTCCTATCATTGCTGTGGAGAAGCCTCAGAGCATTTTGCAGTGATGATTCTATGAAAATTCTCCCTACACAGTTTCCATAGACACTTTTTCATCATTCAAACCAGAAAGGAATACCTGGATTCCAAGCAAGATTTCATGCCAATTTCATTTTCCATATTCTATATTCAAGATTACTTTCCATACAACCAAGGCCCCAGGCTTCCCACAGTTCAGAATACAGAACTAGATTTCTCTTTGATTTGTGAATTTCCAGTGCCAGGGTTTTGGTTTATCTTCTGCTCAATATACATGCTGTTGCTCAGCAGTTAATCCCTTAATTGTCAATAACAAGAAGTATTAGTATAATATTATGGTTTATTCACAAATTTGTAATCAGCTTGCTGATGTGCATGTCAGAGATGCATATTCCCCAAAATGTGTACTATTTCCCAAATGAAAAAAAAAAGTCAGCAATATCTCCTCACATATCAAGAACAATACGTGCAGGAGGTTTTGTGATAATATCAGTGAATATACTGGACTCCTCAAGGAAACCATCTGTGGTACTGAAGTTAAAACTGACAAAATGTTATCTCATGCTGCCTTACAAATATTTTATATGGACTTGGATTTGCAAATCCTTTATGCATAACACTACTCATATAAATAGTCCTATTTCTAATTGAATTGAATAAATGAATTAAGCTGCACAAGCATGTAAGTTTACAGATTCAGGAGTTTCTGAGCATGGCGCAGTACATACATTATTACTGAGACACACATGTAGTTACCTATTAGTCAAAGCACTCAGATGCTTAGACATAGGTCAAAATTTTGGACAGGAACAAAGCAGAACAGGTGTGAAAACTTCAAATGATTTTGAGACTGATCTTTTTAATATATTATTTTCTGTATCTTCAGTGTCATGACTTGGCATTTTTTATTCCAGTTTTATATACACAGCTATGAAAAATCAGATACTATGCTAAACCTTTCTGGAAGAGAGATGTACTTGGGAAATCCCTTACAGGAGAGAAAGGTAAGCGTTACTCATGTAGGATATTAAAAGAAACATACACAGAAATAGATTTCACTGAGCTGGTGTTCTATTATTTCACATATAAAATATGGAAATATATTTTAACTCTAATCCATTTTTTAATCTCATGTTTTTTCATCAACCATTTTTGTTGGTTTTCCTTTCTAAAATTCAACACATCTTTTTATACTATATGCCAGCATATCCTCACCATGTTCCCTTGAAAATTTCCCTTGTTTTGACCTTGTGTCTATAAATGGCTATTTAAAAGAAAATAATTTATATACTATTTAAACATCTTTGGTGACTTCAGCAGAGGAACTAAAACTTTTTATAGCATGGACTATATGTTAATAGAGGTGCTGGCTCATGGTCATCTTGCCTCCCCTCTATGATCACTGATCATTTCTACAGTAATGAGTTGTACGGAAAAGAATCAGTAGAAAGGTTTGGTGTGGTGTCAGTAGAAGGGTCAGCATCAGGTGCCCAGGCAGCTTTCTGTAAGGCAGTTTGAAACTGGTTTATTCTGCCCATGGAGGAAAAGAGAGCCTGTCCATTGCCAGATAACAAGCCAAGGAAGTTTGGGAAGTACTACTATACACATACAGTGCATGCCGCTAAAAATTTTAAAAGCCAATGGAGCAGATCAACCCCGTTAGAGTTACTGGGAGTTAGGTAATTAATTCTGTAGGTTTGAAAAATCTCAGGCATTTTGATATACATTATATTTACAATTCTTTATGTACATATAGACAAATATTTTCTATCCATAATGCACTCAACGTATTCTGGGCCATAATATGTGGAACTATATACAACCATAGCACTCATGGATGAGCAGTATGTGGTGGTAGAAGATATGTGTGAGCTGTTAAGTGCATGGAACTGTCTTATATAACTTTTGTTACAGCTCCTTAGCCCAACATGTACAGTTCTTCCTTTTTCACCTTATTAGAAGCTTTAGGGACTTTTTTTTTCTTTTTCAGTCCTGATTCATTTGTTTCTCCATGAGATTTTAATGATCACTGTCCTACTAAGGGTAAGCCCAGCCCAACACATCTTTCACTCACTGTAAAAAAAAAAAAAAAAGAAAAAAAAAAAAAAAGTACCAGTATAAAAAGAAAAAAAAAAAAAGATGATCTTTGCCATTTATTCAGGAAAGATTAATTACACTTGATGAAAAAGGGTATTCTGGAAGAAAACTGTTTCACAGAATACAGTGCTCTTCAACCATTTGCAAATGCCATAAGTGAAGTATCTCTACTTTTAATACTTTTCCTAGAAGATGTAATGGATGCAGACTTTTTATTATGACTTGTAACTTTTATTACTCTAAAAGATGTGTTGGACTGGATTAGAATGTGGGACATATTCTAAGAGACTGAGCCCTTGCTGGTGTAGTTCCAGTAGTACCTTGCTCATAGGAGAAATGCGGCTTTACCTTGGGACTTGTGTGGTTGACATAGTTCCATGGGGTTATTCTAACATGGAAGTTGCCATGGTTAGTACAGTCCTACTAGGCACCTCCAGCCCCAGATATTCCACATAGTAAATCTTTACTGCAACTGAATAAAGAGCATCTGTACGTTACTTTTGACCCACTTTTGGACCCTGTATGAATCTGCATTGAAAAATAAATTAATAGAGCCCAGTGTTAGACTCATCATATAAAAAATAAAAAATGGACAGTCTAAAATTACAGAAAAATAAAAATACTACAGACTATGAGTTCCATGTCAGAATAATCCAGCTAATAACTAATGCAATTTTGGACAGAGCAACTACTTTATTTGAATTTATTGTTGAGTGTACTATTTGCAATTAAAGGACTGCCTTATACTGAAAAGTCTTGGCTGGTATCTTGAAGCATAGCATGCATCTAAGTTTTTTTTGGGCAGACACTGAATTTACATCCATGGGAAACAAAAAAGGTTACTTTTGTTCAAGAAAAATTTAAATTATGTAGCTCAATTTACTTCCTTTCACTTCATGCAGTCCCATTGCTTCTCAGTAATTCCAGTGTGCAAACACCTCATGAACAAAACCTACTAAACCTTCTGCTGTTACTTGCTCAATTTTAACACCACCATTATGGAGAAGATCCTCTTTTTTTTTCACCAGTTCAGCATAAGGACTAGATACAATCAAGGCATGAGACTCTTCTGACCAAACACAGATGCCTGGATATGAGCTAGCCAATTTTGATCTCTTTGAATGCAGAGAAACAGGTGCTTCTTTGCCACAATTCATCTAACCCAGAAGTAAATAACTACGTTTGTCAGATGACTTGCATCCTACAAGGGCCCTCTTCATGACGAAAAGGGGCCCTCAGATGACTCACTCAAATGCAGACCTCCATAACTAGGTGAGAAGAATTCCTCCCAATAATCTCAGAGCTCTGACTGGTAAGTGGGGATATCTTGAGTAAGGATGACTGATATGGTTTCCATGTGAGATGACCACCTTACTTGGCTGCACAGACATGCAAGTTGCTTGTCAGTCAACTTTGGAAGCACTGTGGTTGGCACGTGATGGACAGCTGGGGCAGTGCACTTGTCAGCCAAGAGACATTAACCTGGTCCTGGCTCAGCAGTCAAGACCCTCAGTTAAGCTGTGTTTTGGAGGCTTAAGTGATACACGAGTAATGATAACAGCACAGAGGGATGGATTTTATTCTAGATTAATGACAGTCAGATCTGTGAGAAAAATCTACGCATGGATATTACTTTTAAATAACTTAGACATGTCCACATTTTAATGCTTTTTTTCTTTTTTTTTTTTTTTTTTGCTTGCATATCTTGCACACTTTATTTTGTGAACTTTCAATCAGGACTTTTTGTCATGAAGCACTCTGCAGTGTGGGCCACATTCTCAAAAATAGCCTATTAGATTTGCTTAAATTTGTTGAGTTTAAACTCTAACTGCGCACTGCAATATGCAGGATATCTAAATAGAGCTAATTTTCACCTGAAGAAAGTATTTCTTGTAATAAAGAAAGTTACTCTTAATTTCACATATACACTTGTGGCCTGCACAGAATTAAGCTCACATTTGAAAAAGAACACCTGTTGATTTTCTGTTTGTTTTTAAATGAAAAAAATTGGGCACATCCCCACACCCCACAAAAAAAACCCCTAAACCAAACAAGAGTAGGCTTGGAATTGAAGCAAGAGCAAATAAAATGTTTCCAAAATGGGGAAAAATGTAAATTTGATCAAGATAACTATTATAGAAGTGTGATACTGCACCACAACAACAACAAAGGCCCAAGCCATATAAACCCATAAAATCCTGGATTTACAGGTTTTTAATACATGTCCTTACCCAAACAATCCCTTGTTCTTTCCCTTCTGGTTACCCAAACTCTTGTTTATATAAAAAATATATCTGATTAATAAATGTTTTAATATGGTTATATTTTTTCTATTGAAAATATATTTTCAGTAGTGTGATAACTTTAGAAATTAATTTCCATTAAATATATCCAGGTTGCATGCACATAACATGCCGCTCTGCATCCACACTACCAGGAATGAAAAAATGTGCAAAGGAGAATTTAAAAAGTGCACATACATGGTTTGGATTAGTTATGAGTAATTTTGAAACCCCATTAAGAAATAACAGACTCATACCTCCTCGGTAATGTATTTAATTGTGAGAGAGGCTCCTTCCACAGATGTCACGTTGTTGGCCACGGAAGAAATAACAGGCAAAACTGATAAAAGAAAATCAACTTTCAAATTACTCTGTGATGACAGTATGTTTTAAAAGGCTTCAGGTAACTATGATTTTCTTTCCATAAGAGAACATCTACCAGAAAATTATTCAGATGTGGAATTGGGGCATAATTTTTGAAGTAACAGTCACAGAAATGAACAGATCCTTTTTTTTTTTTTTTTCTCCACTAAAGGCCTGTGATCCTGCAAAACACACATGCTTGTACAGTCCTACTGAGTTCAGCGGGACTACTCATGCTGGCAAAATTACCTTTGTAGCTAGCCTAGGACTGGAGCTGCCTTTCCTTAAACAAGCTCATCAAATTGGCATTGTAGAACACTGGTGAATCCTGATCTTTAGAAAACTTGTTCCTCAATTAAATCTGTTTTGGTTTTTTTTATGAAATAAATTTACTTAATGTACTCCTGTTATCTCACTTAAATTAACGCAGTTATTCCAACATAAAGTGACAACAGTGAATCAGGCCTTGTGTGTCTTACTCTGTGAACTGGTTAGAAGCACAATCTTTTCCGAGTTGTTTTCTGATTTTCCTTCTTTGCCACCAATATACAACGGCAGCCTTTTCCAAGAGTTAGGAAATACATTTTGATTTACAAGCTGTAAATTAAGCAGTAAGTATCATTATGATTACATAAAGTAGTTAGTTCATTTTGATATACACATATATTATACTAATTACCCAAATGCACATCTTAACAGAAGAGTTGTAATGCTTGAGTATATTGGAATGCCACGTAACTCAAAAATGTCTTCCAAACTATGTATAAATTAACAAAAGCATCTGCACGCAGTTTACATGTGACATGCATGTAGATCTGTGTGTGACTTGTACAGCACACAGACATGCGCTGGTTCCCCTGTTCCCAGTAACGCATATCCATGCAAAAGTTTGGAAATGTAGCCAGCACGTCTGTGTAAGTTGTCTGAATAAAACATGAAAGCTGTAAGTCTTAGAGAGGTACAAATATTATGTTAGGCCTTTGCAGACATTTTCTTGCATGTAAATATGGCTATTGAAGAGTTCTAAAGGTAATTGTCTTCGATGTCACTTAGGTATCTGTACTAAATGGAGGTCTAGCCCATAGTAACCAGAGCTCCATTTCAGCAGTCTGCTTTTTACTTCTAAAAGCAGTTAGAAGTAGACTGAAGGCAACATATTATTACACTGCTGTCCTACATCTCCTTTTCTGCCTGTGTACAAGATAACAATACCGCAGTGTGTAACTCCCAGCATCAGTTGATGGTTGTAGAACTGCCCTCAACTGGAGGATGATATGGCTGGCCTGCTCCCATGGGAATAAGCACATCACCCCACTGATGGCTGGCCCCCTCAGGTCTACGACCACCAGTGGAAATTATGCTTAGTTCAAGCAGTGGAGGCCTGCATTTTCGGAACAGAAAGCTTTTTGAAGTCTGTGTGGCCATGGTATAGCTGACAACCACGTGGTTATGAAAACGTTACAGTTTTCCAATGAATATTTGCCACATAGTGGAAGCAAATGCTGAATATTAATAAAAAAAAAAAAAAAAGGAAGGCCTAGGGTGGTGAAGAATCCCAAGCATGAACAAGTTTTCCAACCTAATCTAAAATTTAAAGCATAAAAAGTGTCGAGTGCTAAAGTAATTAAAAATCAAGTACCTTAAGATTTCAAACAGGTTTCTCTCACTATCCTCCCAATTATTCACACAATGAAAACTCGCTACATAAAATCATCAGTCATTTCCGCAAACAATACTAACAACTTGAGGCACCATTTTACCAGCATTCAAACTATTATAAAGTAATATAACAATAGGACCCATATATTTGGATTTAATTAAGAGATAAAATAAATATTTATGTCAAACTTCTTTTTGATTGCACATTTGGTATTGGAAGTTACATGGTCACAAAACATGAAAGAAGTCAAATACTTTTTGATCTACCAGCAAACTCTAAATACATCGATAAAGAAGCCACACCAGGCCAAAGAGATTACTACTTTCAAGTAAGTTCATGAAAATTTCCCAAATATTGTTATACAAAGTTACACATCCATGCTGAGCTATTCATCAGTGTGTAGCAAGTGTCTTGCAGTAGGCCAGGATTTTATCGGCAGATAACTGGCGGAGGAGCTATGCAGTGTGATTAAAAATTCCAGTTTGGAAGCATTAACATAGAAGTACTTTTATAGTCTGAACAGGAGACTGCAGTTCTTGAAGTTGGGAAGAGCAGAAGGGAAGAATGAGAATATTTTTCCGTTTTAGAAATGCTGAGGCACAAAACACAGTTGATTCTAGTACTTTCATACATGAAATCCTTTCTCCTGTATGTGCATCATATGTAACCGCAAAGTCTGTAAACTGCTGACTATTCGTCTCTGGTGTCCAATGAGTACAACTCCAATTCTTCTAATGTCACTGCAAGATAAAAAGTTTCATCTTGGATGCAAGTATAGTAAAGCCTCTTATATACAAAAGAGAATAAATATGTGATGAATCGCTCTTCTTCAGAACAGTTTACCTTCCTGAGTGGGACATATAAGAAAGCTGCAAATGTTAAAGTTTTCTGCACCTGTCAATTCTAAATTTTTAAAGATAATTTAAGAAAAAAAATTTAAATGTTGTAGTTAGAGCACTGGTATCTTTTGTGATTCTGTCAAGTAATTTCCCCAAATCTTGAGGAGGAACCTGAGAGATGGTTCTAATAGCCCATTTTGAGTAATGTGTTAATAGCAAATATTTCCCACTCATACTTGCAAAGGAACAGGGTTGATAACACTATTTCTTGTGGTCCTGATGTAGAAATAAGAGATTCTGTGCTTCTGATGATTTGGGGAATGGTGGTGAGAGGTGGTCTAAAGATATACTAGTCTGGCCCAGATTTCCCTCCTGGCTTCCCTTCATCTCATCTAGACCTGCACCCTAGAGTGGGTAGCTCACCCACAGAGCTTGACTTTTTGACAGGAATGAAGTCAGCAGCCCTCAGCATCCATCACAATCCACTAGTTCAGTTGTTCTCTAAACATCACCAACTGCAAGATGCTGAAAAAGATCACAGAGGTGGTGAGGGCAGGAAACTTCAGATATGCCTTGTCAATTGTACAAATCCCACACTGGGACATAGCTAAACAGGCAATGTCTATGCTATCCTCAAAAATTGGTTGACAATATAGTTAGTAAAGGAGCTCATGGGATAAGTCATGACCTTCATGGGTTTCAGATTTGCAGTTCAAGATACCTGCCTCTGTGTTTTCCAGCTAAAGAGCCACTGGATAGCAGCAACTATCCAGTACTTAGGCTTAACATCCACATGGGGCATAATACACAACACTTGAGGTCAGCAGGGACTATGTGAAAATATGGATCATTTTAGAAGAATAAAGTCAGCTAAAAGAATAAACCTTTGGGG